ACTTTTCCTTTTATTTCCACAGTCTTGGTCTTATTACCAATCTGATCGGAAAATTCTATTTTAATGAGCAAAATGTTGAACTCCCCTCAAGGCAATTTTCAACAGAACTTTCATTAACGAATGAATATTCTGCACCCTTGCATATTTTTCCGCATCTCTCCGGATCATTATCTGAAGTGATTGGAAAGCTAAATCGCTGATTAGCTGAAAAGTTCTGGCCGACTTATTGCAACCGGTGGATTTTTTCCGGATCTGTTCTCTATTTCTCCCATTCTTCTAACTTATTATCTCATTTCGGATGTTTCCAGTCGAGTAAGTTATGATTCAGCACTCACAATCAAAAATAAAACACAAATAAACGAAACCAGAGTCCAGAGCAAATAACTTTTGATCCAATGCTGTAGCCGAAGTGCACTTCCATGTGTAATTCAACCTTACAAACAACATTGTACGTTAAAATACATGTGTATCACACGAACGTTGAGAATTGAATGTGTGAAATTCCTGTATGTGAGGGGGGAAGTGGGAGAGCAGGAGAGTCTGGGATAGTAACAATCAGAGGATATTCCTCCGTTCATTACTTCCTGCACTTCATCTGAATGTCGAACATGAAGTAGTGGAAAAAAAAAATAGGGAGGGCATAGGGGGGTATCCCTCTCACCTCCCCTGAGGTTTCAGTATCCACCGCTACTTTATGTTCCTCGGTTTTTTATGGGACCACATAAATAACACGCGGAAAGACGTTCGTCATTCTTTCCAAACACTTTCCTTCCCTTTTCCCTTTCTTTCACCATCTCCACAAGCTTTTGTTCTCTATTTTCCCTCTCATCTCTTTTCCTCTATTGCTTTTTACTCACCGGTAATTTCGCACGATATTTGCCTCAGTATTTTTACGAGCAAAAACAGCTAATAAAATAGCGGACAATAAATGTAGCATCTGAAAAGATCGAGTTGTTTTTTATGGATGAATTTTTCAGTGCAGATCGATAATTCGGGAGGTAAACACCAATCGTGGTAATTTGTGTTACCGACACGGTGTCGTGTTAATTATGGGGTCACCAATCAGACCAGAGCAATATCTCCAAAACATAATTAATGTCCTTGGAGGGAATTCCAACAATGGGCCGTGGACCTCTTGACTGCAGGGTCGTTTCTCTATTCTAGCTGAACGTACCATAGAATTTCACCAGCCTCGTCACCATCTTCATCCCCCTGGAAACTTGTTCACTCCTTTGTTCCCAACACACCACGATTATCCCATTTAACACCCTCTTCCATGGCTACCACGATTTGCCTTCACCGCATGTTCTGTCCTCTCTGGACGTGCGACACGTGTCGCAATTTATTGTACACACAAGTGGTAGATTGTTCAACAGCAGGAATTACTCCAGGGAGATAATTAAATGTACAGTAAAATTTACCGAAAAATTTCCCCCGGGTATGTCCTTTCTTCCCTTTCTTCCTAATTAGAACTACCGACTCCGCGATAGGATTGTTTCCTATTTAATTGTCCTCGCATTCATATTTTATTATTTATTACTATTTTTCTTTCTGCCTGATGATTGGACTCGTCTCTCAGTTGTACTCGTTAAATTGAAGTGATACCGAGAGATTGAGCGGTGGGTGTGGCAAAATAGAAGAAATCGTTACGCGGTTGATGATGCGTTTCTAAAAACAAGACGACCTCGTTATAAAGACGGATCGTTCACGGAATTGGTTTGAGAAATTTTTTTGTTATCTTTCTCTGATATTTTTCATGCCTGAGACATTTATGTTTTTTTATGTTCCATATTCCAGGGAAACAGAGCCATTGTTTTTTAAATCTCAGATAAGATTTTATAACGTTCCCCTCGAATATTCTTTTGCAAATAAAGAACGGCAATTCTTAATAACTCTGCGGTTACCTGTAGGAACCCTCTTTGTCTTAAATTGATCACTCGAATGAAGTAAACACTCGAGCATAATTTTGATGATGTAAAATTATAATAAAAGGTAATGCAGGGGGTTGGATGTGTGTTGCACGGTTGTTTGTACAAGTGCTTCGATTATTTATGGCAGTTGTCGAGACTTCCGCATCTCAGAGGCGAGGAAGCAAAGTTTTCCCGAGGAACTTGGCGTTCTTACCCGAGAAGAGCAGCAATAGAGTGAAATTGGGGGATGGGGTTACCATAGAGGGAGAGAGATTTTGTCTGCACGTAAAAGCATCTCGGTTGTACTGCATTTGCTGTACAGGGACTTATCTCCAGCGAGGAGTTTCCTAGGACTTTGAGAACTCCCGACTGATTTTATTCCACATGAAAAATATCGGGGAGTTTATTTTCCAATTCGCTCGATCCACTGTCTGATTATCGGACAGCTTTGAGGAATTACTCATTCGATAATTCATTTTGTATGGATCAAATTGAAGAAATATCTATCGGTTATCATTTTAATTGTAGATTTTTTTTTGCAGGTGAAAAGAATAATAATTTCAATAGAAAATAAACTCGGGACAATTGTCTTCGGGAATTTGTACTGGCAACGCTATCAATCCCGTTTTATCCCCCCACAATGCCAATCAATGTCAATCCAACTACAACGTGATACCTCCCCTAACTCGTTTCACTTGATCGTTTACGAGTGTTCTTATACAATACGTGAGTCATATATAGACGATGTATACATATGTATCGGACATTCCTTCTCACCTGCTCATCGTTTTATCCCGCCAAAACGCGGAACAAATTCCGATGGATTATTCATCCAATCAATTAATTAAACTCAGGAATTTAATCCCATGATCTGCAACAATTTCGCCCACCGGGTTTCATGTGCGGCCCTCGTGAAAAATGGATCGTGTGGAATGGAGAAATTAATGCTCGACGGGTGAACGCGTTTTTCGATATTCTCCATTCCAAAATATTACCATCTCATAATCGCGTCCATCCCCTTTTACAAATGAATGCACTGAAAAAAAAAATGAATCATTAAAAATTGATTGGGCAACCGCGACTTCTTCAATTGCATAATTAGCGAGCTTAATTACGAATGAAGTTTCCGTAATGAGGAGATAAAATTGAGTCGAGTGATTGAGATGAATTTTCATTGGTCTAATGAGGTACTTGGAGTACAAGTGGTATTTTCAATTGGAAAGTTTGTTAGAGGAAAAAAGAGGCACCTGGTGAACGGCTTAAAGAGGGAGTAAGAGGAAAAGAGGGACCACATCGAACGTCGGATGACAAATAATCCTCTCTCAAGGCAGCAACCAGTAAATCGGGCTCATCCTCGTTTCAACCAAGCCTCTATCCTCTGAATGACTTTGCAAACTTCAGCGAATCAAATTTCTCGGTTCGACGCCCTCAACGAGATCGAGAGCGAAATTTCCGTAACCCCTTTCCTCATTCCAGCGTCCTTGGAATTTCTGCAAGGGTATTTGCATTCTTCTGAACGCTCCAAGTACTTCACATTACTCATCTTACATACGAAAGAATCGATGAGTTCATGAGGAAGTTCCAGTGGAGATATTCATTAAAGTCGTTTGATTTTTTTTTCACCATCAGTTTTCAGTCAATATCCTAGAACCGAAGAAAAATTATATATATTGATATAATGATATAATTTTTTTACTAAATACCTGTCTTGTGGCTCTCATCCTTCTCCACAAAAAATATATCTACAAAAAATGATACCTCACCTTCAATTCCGAGATATTAGCTGAAGATTTTGCAATTTGCAGGAAATGCTGAATAAAAAAATGAAGGAGATTAAAAAATATTGTCAAGGTGACGAGGAATGTAGATTGCGGGAGATTATAATGATGGAATTATTATTTTTTATTTTTGTCACGTCACGTTGTGCCTCTTCCTCATCCGCTTTACTTGTTTTTTCGCTGTCATCACGCATCACGTACTTTCCGTAACTCCAGAACGAATGGTGCTTATGGGATTCCTTGGTAACATGCAGAAAAATGCATAGAGGCACTCGGAAGCTGGAAGCATAAGTAAATTCCTCGGGTGTCATGCGATGGGACAAATCGTCTGCTGTATCCGGATGCGACTGTGTGTGAATACTGCAATGAGAATTTGTGGACACGTGTTTCATGCAATATATGGAATTCCACCGGTGGAATTTCAACATTAAAAGTATCATGAATTGCATTTTTCGTATGCAACTACAACTGTCAAATATATCGCCTTCATTTTACCGATCAGTAAATAACAATGAATGTATTCAAGCATTGGCAATATTGATTTGTGCGACTGGAAATATTGGAAATGCGTTAGAAACGGATAAATTCAAAATTCATGATTTTCTCCGTGTGGTAAATTTACTATTCAATGTGACAACCGAATTCACGCTTTAATTCACATTACTATCATTTTTCGTTCTCTGCGTTCAAGATTGATATCTCTATTTATATTCACTTTTTTGTTTGTTCATCAAATCCATGAAACGTATGTACGCAAATATCTATTCACAAATCTCGGGGGAGTAATACAAATTAATTCACATCATTTATTCCTCGTACCACGTTTCCCCTCGCTGAATATTGTCACTGAAATTCAGTGATTTACATTACTCCATATCAAAACTCCTCTATTTCGCTGGTCGAAAATGCATGAGGTACCCATCGGAATTCATGCATTAACTCCCACCTCTGGTGAACCCGGAAAAAAAATATTTTCTCAGTGGAATTCATGGAGCCGTAAGCCGAGAGGAGGAAAAACGTTCAACCCGAACTACAGTTCTCACAACACATTTCCAAAATTCCCGGGTGTGGATGGAAATTCGAGATTATTTCAGATGGTTTCAAAACTTTGAAATTGCAAACTCCACTCTAGCATTAATGTAATACTTTTGAGTACCTAACTGCTGCTCGGAGATATGCACAGTTACCAAATCTGGAATTAGAGAATTATCAACGTGCAATCGGGGAATGAGATAATTTTCTCAATAGTCCTGTGCGCAAATAACTGATCATCATAAAAAAATTAAAAATCAAACGTATTCATTTGTTTCAGCATCAGGATCAGGATCAGTGATAGGTCGTGACCCACTGCCCCCACGTGCTGTGAGTACATCGCAATTGTCCCAGAGCCCTTTGACACAGCCGCCATCATCCGTATCAACACTACCCCTGGCTCGTCCCAATGGACGTCAACAGATACCGGGACCACTTCCGGTCCATCAGTCCACCCCTCAGCCGACATCAGTCCGACTTCCTGCCACCGGTGGTAATGACAGTGACTCGTCAATTTGTCGTGCCACCAGTATCGCCGACGTTCGAACCCCTTCAACAGGGTAAACATCAATTCATCAGTCAATATTTATGTTGGATCAAAATTTTCATTAATTACTCGGTTCAATTTTCAGGGTGAGCAATGAAGTATCGAGGTTATCATCACCCAGTGATACGACCCAACGGCTTCTCAGTCCAGCGAGAAATATGCGTGTTGTATCACCAATCGATCATCGAGTATCGAGCCCCAGCGATAGTGAAAGACATCTTCACAGCCCCAGTGAGTTGCAAATTTTCATTTATCTGTTAATAATCTGTTGAAAAATGGATGAAAAATGAGGAATAATTGAGGAAGATGAACTCTTACTTATTATCGTGAACTTTATTCAATGAAAATGGTCGTTATATAAGTGGAGTCTGTCGAAAGAACTTTGGAAAAGTTTGAAGCTGAAAGAGCACTCGGTGTAAAATAAAATCGATGGGAAGATTTTGAAGTTTGTCGAGTTCAGTCGAGAGGAAGTGGTGAAATTGTTGGAGTGAGGATAACCCATTTTGTTGATTGCCGGATTATCTCCATCACGACTTTAAAAAAAGAGACAAATAAATTTCATGAACATTTTGGTGGTACTTACCAGAAAATCGATCAGTCAATTCGGAGGAAAAACTCCAAATGGAAAGTGAATTTTTTGAATGCCCAAATTTTTCTTCTCATTCAGAAATTCTCTGTAGGGAGTTAATTACAGTTAGAAAAAATTCTTCTTGATTAATTATCTTCGACTTCATCAGTCGATGGCATTTTGAGATTAAGACCGTTTGAAACATCCCCTTGGGGCACCGCGTGTATCCAATGGCAATTGAATCAAATGCAGATCTATCTAGCTACGGATGGACGAGAATTGGTGGGTGGATACCCTTTTACCCTCAATTCAGCATTATCGGTATTTCCATTGTGACGAGGCTTCCAGTAATTCGTTGCACTACTGATGACGGGTATTAGCGAGGAACCCTCGAGTTTACCATTCAGAGGATATTCCAATCGTTTGAATGAAAACGCTTCCATAATTTATGTCTCGAAGTCTCCAGCGAAGATCTCGTCATTGATAATGAAAGCACTTTGCTTTTCTGATTCGAGATCCTCTGCGTGTGTTTCACATGTCAATGTCTTTTCATAATTACAAAAATTCATAATCCTTCGCCCAGATAATTCTCTTTTTCAATGGCTAAAAGTACGATCAATCTTGGATTTAATTTACTTTAATTTGAGGGTCGATCTGAACTTTGAGAACTAAAAGGATCAGGATGGAACGGATTCAGGATCACTTTTACTGACAATAGTTGGTGGAGGTGCACTGGATTTGAGAGGACTTCACCGTCTCTTTCTCCGTACGGTTAATTATTCAAAGGCTCCAGACGCTCTATAAATTCAAGGCTCATAAGGGAAATTCGTGAACTCAGAGTGACGTAGAGTTGAACTATGAACTATGGAAAATTCAAGCGAGTTGAAAATACACTTCGTTATTATTCTTCAAATCCAAAGGGAATAAAGCGAACTAGTTCCCACATCGTCCATTCTACATTTCAAATTTTTCGTTTTTCTTTTGCACTGACCATTCGCCATTCATGAGCATTGAATCATTAATTTTCTTCATTCTTTTTAAATATCAACGTCCAACTTTTTTCGACAACTCAAAAGACCACTTAAACAATTTTTTACGCTTGAAGAAGTCTCCACTCGCAAACTTCGAGGATGACAGGAGATTTTCATCGTCAGTGAATAGAGAACCGAGAGATCATCATAAAATGTTAAAGATCCAGCAATTTATGATGATTTTTCAATTTTCTCCTTCGAATTCTCGCTACTCTCTATCTATTTTATGAGTGAAATTCTCTTGGCATGAAAAAATAAATTCACTCTCATATTTCAAGATGTGGATAACGTCTAAGCGCAATTTTTCTACATCACGGAACGTAGATACGTTGAGATCAGTTAGATGATCCACAGAGATAGTCAAGGAGTTTAAAGGTAACTGAATAATTCATCGTCGTGGCCCAGACGTAGAGGGAAAAAGCCTTTAGCCATTCATAGATAGATTCTATCCTGAATCTGCCTCTGTTGGATTCACATTCCAACTTCAATTGCAATTCGGCGAAACAGTGGGCAGAGGGTGCGCGTCGAACCGGGGAAACACCAGACTCTGTGGGATTTCCTGGGGGCTATTATCGTATATTATTCGATTGTGAATTCATGTACGAGGGATTACACATATCCGATGGTTTTTGGTATCGATCCGGGTGGTAAGTTCCTGAGTATTAAAATTTATCGTTCATTTAAGCCGCAAGTACTTGTTATTTATGCTGAAAGTTGCAGAACCAGTCAATAATCAACAGCTGAGATTTTTTTTCGCTCCATTTATCAATGCGCGTTTGAAAAATAAACTGTGAAAGTTCAGATAGTTATACCGCAGGCCGACACTTTTGCGGGAATTACGACAATTTTTCCTCCTCTCACTTTTTTGGACAGTCGTGTCAGAAAGGGGGACAGAAGTATCGTAATTCAAGACATAAATTTTGCCAGCGATCAAGACCTTTTCTCAAGCGATGAAAGATTCCTGGAGAGGAGGTTCCTCCGTACTTCTGACATTTTCCATTCTGGAGACAATTATTTAATTAAGCTACCGTAATTTATCAGCTGACATTGCGAGTTCACCTCTTGTGGACGAGAAGATGAATGTCTTGGAGGAGATTGTGAAGTAAAATCCGTGAATCCTGACCATCGGAGGAATTTTTCACGTGGTCGTCACGTGAGGGAAAAATTAGATATCAGATATTAAAAAAACTATTCATTTTTTTTTACAGGCGAAAGATTGATGACGAGTCCTGTCAGCATCCGAGAGACAAACGGAGAAACGGCAGTTCATCGTCAGCTTCCTCGGCTAGTTCAGGGTCGAGAAAGCACCACGGAACTTCTCCAGAAAAGGGTAATTAAGATACCCATAAAAACCCTATATGAAAAACAAAAAAATTACTGAAACCGGTCTCAATCGATTCGGAGATAAATTATACATTGCCATCGTCGATGAAATATTAATATTTCCTCGAAATACATTTGAAATCGACCTCCATCCCCCGGTGAAAATGTAATTCAGATGAGAGACAGAGAAAATCCCAGAGGAGTGATAAACGAGAGATAAAAAATTTCCATTTTAATCAATCTACATGAAGTAATGAATATATACGAAGTGGAGTTCCCATTTTCAAAGGCAAAAAACGATTGTCAAGAAAATTCCAATGAACAATTCGTAATTAATTCTCTTTTACATCAGGCTGAATAAATATCGGCAGTGAAAAAAAAATTGAGGAGTAATACAGAAATTAAAGTATTGTTTTTTATTCATTGTTAAACTCCACAATCGATATGTATGTTTTATTTGCGATGAGGGAGAAGAGCGATAGGCAAATCTGGGCAAATCACAATCATTGGACTGTAGAAACCATTGACAACTCAAATGACACGTCATTACCCTCAAGCCCCGTGGAAGCGGATTAATGTCTTTACCCTCTAGTTCACTTCACTTCGACGATTACCAACGTGCGACGCAATGTAATTGGAACAACTAACAGAAGTGTTACAAATTTCCACCGCTGCACTAGCCGAATTTCCCCTAATAATACGACGAGTTGTGTGTACAAACTGTCAGAGAGATTCTAATGACGACTAACAGATTACACTGACGCTCTAATTAACTCCAATGAGACGGTATTCACAAGGTAAAAGACCTTGTTTGCAAGCGCTCGTTTTTTCTTGACACCTTAGGAGGATTATGGTACTTTCACTGACGAGGTGAAGCTACTAATTTCCCAGGGTATTAAATGAAGAGTTCATTAGTTAATTATTACATACTCTGAATGAAAGTTCATTTTTTTTGTTGTTGTGTAATGGTGTCACTGGGGAGTTTCATGAGTTGGGAGTAATTGGTGATTGTTGGATTGTTAATTGTTTGTTTTTTTTTGTGTAAAATGTGATTTGGAGGGAGAAAGAGAGAATTGATGTTGGGGGGATTTGAGGTAATGGTGTCATTGGGGAATTTAATTAGTGAGAGTGATGCCGTTGTGGAGCACGAGAGGTGGTAATTCAGGGGGAGGTGGATTTGCTGATTATTTTGTGGGTATCTAGGTGAGAATGAATTTATAGGTTTTTTTTTTT